GCCTACAAGAGTGTCCCAGAAGAGTGTCCCACAAGAGTGTCCTACAAGAGTGTCCCACAAGAGTGTCCTACAAGATTGTCCTATAAGAGTGTCCCACAAAAGTGTCCAACAAGAGTGTCTCACAAGAGTCCCACAAGAGTGTCCCACAAGAGTGTCTCACAAGAGTGTCCCACAAGAGTGTCCTACAAGAGTGTCCTACAAGAGTGTCCCACAAGAGTGTCCTACAAGAGTGTCCCACAAGAGTGTCCTACAAGAGTGTCACAAAAGAGTGTCTCACAAGAGTGACCCGCAAGAGTGTCCTACAAGAGTGTCCTACAAGAGTGTCTCACGAGAGTGTCCCACAAGAGTGTCCCACAAGAGTGACCCACAAGAGTGTCTCACAAGAGTGTCCCACAAGAGTGTCCTACAAGAATGTCCCACAAGAGTGTCTCACAAGAGTGTCTCACAAGAGCGTCCCACAAGAGTGTCTCACAAGAGTGTCCCACAAGAGTGTCCCAGAAGAGTGTCCCACAAGAGTGTCCTACAAGAGTGTCCCACAAGAGTGTCCTACAAGAGTGTCCTACAAGAGTGTCCCACAAGAGTGTTCACAATGTCCTATAAGAGTGACCCGCAAGAGTGTCCTACAAGAGTGTCTCACAAGAGTGTCCCACAAGAGTGTCCCACAAGAGTGACCCACAAGAGTGTCTCACAAGAGTGTCCCACAAGAGTGTCCTACAAGAGTGTCCCACAAGAGTGTCCTACAAGAGTGTCCCACAAGAGTTTCCTGCAAGATTTTCCTGAAAGCGTGTCCCACAAAAGTGTCCCACAAGAGTGTCTCACAAGAGTGTCCCACAAGAGTGTCCTACAAGAGCAACCTACAAGAGTGTCCCACAAGAGTGTCCTACAAGAGTGTCCCACAAGAGTGTTCACAAGAGTGTCAGAGTGTCCTACAAGAGTGTCCTACAAGAGTGTCACAAAAGAGTGTCCTACAAGAGTGTCCTACAAGAGTGCCCCAGAAGAGTGTCCCAGAAGAGTGTCCTACAAGAGTGTCCCACAAGAGTGTCCTACAAGATTGCCCTATAAGAGTGTCCCACAAAAGTGTCCCACAAGAGTGTCTCACAAGAGTGTCCCACAAGAGTGTCCCACAAGAGTGCCTCACAAGAGTGTCCCACAAGAGTGTCCTACAAGAGTGTCCCACAAGAGTGTCCTACAAGAGTGTCCTACAAGGGTGTCTCACAAGAGTGTCCCACAAGAGTGTCCCACAAGAGTGTCTCACAAGAGTGTCCCACGAGAGTGTCCCACAAGAGTGTCCCAGAACATTGTCCCACAAGAGTGACCCACAAGAGTGTCCTATAAGAGTGTCCTACAAGAGTGTCCCACAAGAGTGTCCTACAAGATTGTCCTATAAGAGTGTCCCACAAAAGTGTCCTACAAGAGTGTCCTACAAGAGTGTCCCACAAGAGTGTCCCACCAGAGTGTCCCACAAGAGTGTCTCACAAGAGTGTCCCACAACAGTGTCCTATAAGAGTGTCCCACAAGAGTGTTCACAATGTCCTATAAGAGTGTCCCGCAAGAGTGTCCTACAAGAGTGTCCCACAAGAGTGTCCCAGAACATTGTCTCACAAGAGTGTCCTACAAGAGTGTCCCACAAGAGTGTCCCACCAGAGTGTCCCACAAGAGTGTCTCGCAAGAGTGTCCCACAAGAGTGTCCTATAAGAGTGTCCCACAAGAGTGTCCTACAAGAGTGTCACACAAGAGTGTCCCTGACCCGCAAGAGTGTCCTACAAGAGTGTCCTACAAGAGTGTCTCACAAGAGTGCCCCACAAGAGTGTCCCACAAGAGTGACCCACAAAAGTGTCCCACAAGAGTGTCCCACAAGAGTGTCCCACAAGAGTGTCTCACAAGAGCGTCTCACAAGAGTGTCTCACAAGAGTGTCCCACAAGAGTGTCCCAGAAGAGTGTCCCGCAAGAGTGTCCTACAAGAGTGTCATGTGGACCTGTGTAGTTTTTCGAACGTGTTTACATTCGGGTTCGTGGGTTCCATCTTGTGTATAATCAATACTGTGTATGATATGTGTACTGTGTATATATATATATGTAAATTTCACAACTGTATTTTCCATACAGTGAATTCACCTATCATCACATGGTTTATGTAAAAGGCAGCAGTTTGCATGGACATGATCAAACTGATGAACATGATATGCCTCCTCAGCTTGCAGGCAGCACAACAAGCAGCCGCTGCAGCCGCTGCTTCTTCAAGTGTTCCTTGGCCTTTACTTCCAATCATTCAATAAAGTCATTGACTTGGACAAAAAACAATCGCATCAACAAACTAATTGTGTCCTCTTGATGTCCTGGAATCCAGGAAGC